ATTGAAATGGAGATACATAGAGTTCCTAAAATGCTATTTGGCATCTGATTATGGACAACCTACAATACTAATTGAGTTTCAGAAGAGGTTGCTAAAAGAACAAGGAGAAAAATACATTCTTTTAAGGAGGAAACTTAAGTGAAAATATTTTTCAATGAAGAGTGGGAAAGTGTCATTCTGATAGTGAATAATATGGTTTGAAGTAAGATATTGGTAATTGCCATATAAAAAGCAAAGGCATGTTTTAAGAGAATTTGTTCAAAGTTAATACAAAGATTTTACCTGTTGATACTCAAACTAATTTCTGTCTTGAAGGCATAATTGATATCAAATTTACATAATGATCTTACTATTTTGCAAACCAGAATGCCTACATGGCATCCAGATATAATGAGTCTGAAACTCATTAAAGAATAATAAGAATTGATACGTGATGAGAATTGATAAAGGCATGTAACTGGGTAAGATAAAATAGTTGTTTTATGGGAGTGGAGGGCGTCCTGTACGTGAAAGTAAACAGGAAAAAAAAAGAAATGAGAACCCATACTTAGAGAAGAGAAGATACCTAAAAAAAGGAAGATAATGAGACAGAAAAATATGTGAATTTGTGACATCACTGAAGACAAATGCAAAAACAGTTCAAGGAAGAGGAAAGCAAACAATAATGTCAAGTGCTACTTGGAGTCCAAGTAAAATTAAAAATGAAATTTTACCATTGGGTTTGACAAGATGAAACATAAGATTTGAGAGACAATGCTATTTGAAGAGTGCCAAACAGTAGATATTGTAGCAACCTGTCAATAGTAGTGATCCAACAGAAAAATTTAAAAAGTCAACTATTTAAGAATGACAAGAGAGGGAATGAATATAAGCCTACCAAAGGAGAGGCCAGTCTTGGATCGAAAACTAGACATTTTCATTCTTACTTAATAGGGGGGGAAATGCTAAAATGAATAAAATAGGATCCATGTGAAGTTGCACAGATAACTTTTAAGGGAGGAAAAGAAGGTGTTTCTGATCCAGTGTCTTTGATTTTCAGTGATAAACATCACTGACTTTGAGAAGGGTATTGGAAGTTTGAAATAAAATACATAAAATATTGGAATGTGTAGAAAAAATATTATAGATAACTATTATGCAAGATCTACTGAACAAATTGCATTTGTGTTTATTAATTCATGTGAGATGGACGTGATAGTTTCCCTTTTCTCTAGTAAAACCATTTTTTTCTATGCAAGAAGTAGAATAAAAATAAAGTGAACTTCATTTGATTGTTTCTCAAATAATGTAACTGAGGAGTATAAAGAAATTGAAAAGAACGCAAGTGAATCATTTTGATGATTTTTATGATCTTTTAGCTAAATTAAGAGAGAAAGTGAGTGTATAGTGATAGTAATAAACAGTGAACAATAGAATTTTAATGAATTCAAAACTTTAAAGAGCTAAAACAAATGTTTGATTGTGAATTCAGAATATGTGAGTCAAAAAAATGGATGTCAGAGTGTAGTGTGTTTGAAAGCAATATTGGAATAATGTAGTTAAACAAAGTATAGATGTTCATTACAGAAAATGTAGACATTACACATAGTTTCTGCATAGATGTATGTGCTACTGGAGTTATTTTTCATTATTCACTGTGACAATTATATGTGATTATCATAAATTTATAAATAGTATTCCAAATTTTACTATTTAGTTCCCATTTTCAAAATAATTTTAGATCTTCAGAGATCATAGCAACTTATTCCTTAATGTAAATTTTTAAGTAATCAAAAATACCTAATTGGTATTTTGCTTATAATTTTATTACAAATTTATAACACTTATATCAAAATTCCCTTCAACTATGTACTCTTTCTGTTGAGTTCTTATTTTGTTAAGATAAAATTTTGTAAAACATTCTTAGAAGAATTTTTAATTTAAAAAAATAATTATTCAAATATAGATCACATGTGACAGTGACGGTGATGTAATAGCTAATAAATTATTGCTAATATAAACCCAAACTTTCACATATGTAAAACATATATGTGTGTGTTTGTGTGCACACACATGTGTATGCTTAATCAGCCTATTAAGCTGTCTTGGGAGTTTTTCAATTAACTGTCTTAGATCATCTCCGTCTGGCCAGAGATGTGGCTCGGTGGTAGGGCTCTTGCCTTGCATATATGTGTCCCTGGGATCTATTCTTGGCACTGTATGATCTCTTTAGCATTGCTGAGGCCAAGTTCCAAGCTTGCAAAAGCTCCTAAGCACAGCCAGGTGTGGTCCAAATACAACAACAAAAGTGCTAAATAAATTGTCATTTTATATGCATTATGATTTGATTCTCTACCATGCAGCATATTGTGTACATATATAAAGTATGTTTTATGTTAAATATTGTTTTCATTTATTAACATATACAAATTCTGTAATACTATTAGTAAAGTAAAATATTTCTAGATTCTCATTAAACTGAGTTAATATAAAAAAGGCATTTCAAATGTTTCATTAGCTGAGAGAGAAAAATAATACAGATAGCTAATAAATTTTTAGTTATTGCCAAATTGACAAATAAGCTACCTGCTAAACTCTTAGGGTCTATTGGGTAAATAGCTATAGATTACAAAAATGGTGACAATTCTTTCTGTTCTTTATTTATGCCTTTTGCAATGAGAGTCTTTACTTCCTCTTCAAGAATAGCTATCCCCACCTTTTGAATCCATGATGGCCTCTGACCTTTAGCCAACAGGATCTGAGAGCAAAAGTGTCTAAATTCTGACTCTAAACTTCCAACAGGAAAGACAAAGAACTGTTTTGCCATCACCCCAAGAATTGTGCACAAGAAACAAATCCATTTGTCAAATTGCAATTCAGTAAGAAAATAGAGAATTTGAAAATAATTATCAGCATACAAACTCCAGAACCTAAGTGGTTTCAGAAAAATTTATGGCAAACCTTCTAAAATGTTAGAAAACAATGTTTGGGTTTTGGAGGGGGTGGGTAGGGCACGGAGGAGGTCAGAACTTAGACTCCACTTGCAAAATAATTTCACTTTTAACACAAAAAAGATTCTCTGAAGCTAATGATTCATAAAGGCATTTCCAGAGTTTTCAAACTGTCGGAGATAAAAACGTTCTGTCCATCAGGGAGCATGAGGACAGTCTCAGGGGGTTGAATTCAGGGGCCTGGACCAGAGTTCAGCCTGCTCCACCGCTCTCACACCCTGAAATGGATGTTTCCCTTTTCATGCAGAGACAGAGTGCTTAGTTTGCTTTTTGGTTTTTAATTTTTTTCCTTTTTTTCTTTTTCTTTTTTTTTTGTTCAGTGACTTTGACTTCACTGTTGACTAAGTCCCATTTCAATGTATCAAGTTTATGTTTCCTCATTAGTGCTTGGCAAGAGAAATCAGACAACACATGTACTCGACCCATAACAAGTTGATGAAATTGTATTTTAATCCACTTCTGGGAAAAGACAAGCAGCCAAAGATCCAAATGATATATTAATGGTCTAAACTGAACTTTAATTCATCTTTCCCAAACACAGAAGTAATGCAGACCTAACTAAGCATGCCATAAGTCTCTTCAACTAATATTAAGTTAGCACTTGATATCACAAATCATCTCAGTAAAATCTCAAATTCTACATGTTCAATGGTATCTGTACTTTGACTTAAAAGAAAAAGCTCAATGTCTTGATATTTAACAGTATTTTATTTTATAATTATTATTAATTAGACAAATAATAATGCAAATAAGTGTATATCAATATTCACTGGCCTTAAATGAATGTCAGTTGATTTACAGAATTACTGCGTTGTATCTTGATTGGTTCTATAGAGGATTAAGTGGTTTTATCTAAAGACAATACACACTTTGAAAATTTTTCTTTTATAAACATAACATCATTTAAAATACAGATAGTTTTCATGTGTCTTTGGGGAAATTAATTGCAATAAAATTGCTATTAGAATGGAAAAGACTGTATCATGTGATTCCACTTATATGAAAAGTCTAGAAAAGGTGAATCTTAGAGACAGAAAGTAGATTAGTGGTTGCCTGGGGTTCGGGGGTAGAATAAAAATGACTGCAGAAGGACGCAACAGATATCTTTGGGGTGATGAAAATATTCCCAAACTAAATCGCATTGCTCAGCTCTGTAAGTTCACTAAAAGTTACTAAGTTGTACACTGAAACCTTTAGGACAATTTTTTTTCTCTGTACGCTATACTTCAATAAGACTGTTATTTGCAGGAGGGACAGGGGAATGAAAGAAATAAATTATTAATTTTTGCTTTTCTTTTTCTTTTCCTTTTTGGTTAGTGGGTCACACCAAGCAGTGTTCAAGGCTTATACTCCTGGCTCTGCATGTGGGAATCCCTCCTGGCTGCGTTCAGGGGATGGACAAACAGGTTGTTCCCAGGATGGACCCCTGGTTGGCCATATGCAAAGCAAGCGTCCTACCCACTGAACTACTGCTCTGGCTCTGATTATTTTATTTTATTATTTCTAAGAAAATTTCAATTTATAAATATACAACATATAAAGTCCAATAAAGTGACACAAACTAAATATTGTTATGTTGCAAAGAAAACACAAGAGTCTATTTTCTATCAGCTGTGAGATTCTGAGTGCACTATTCTCTGTTCATTAGCTTTCTTTTTAAAAAGAAATTATAGCTAAATAAATGCAATAGGATTGCGGAGAAGTAAATTAATAGACTATCAACACATAAAATAATGTCTGTTCTTAAGAGGTTTCCTATAAATATTTATCAATATTGTCACATAAAGCTGCTTCACATGCATATTATATGCAATTAACTTTCTAAACATTAGTTCTTCTTGTGAAAGAAAACACTAATATTTACTTCTTGGGATCATTGTGAGAATGGTATTATAAATCACTTATAATAACTTATGAAAAGTTATTTAAAAACTAAGTTTCATTGCCCCGGTAATTGACTAAAATGATTAATTCATTCTCTCTCTTCATTCTGTTTTTCTTTGCTGCCAGTCTGTGATCTTTATTCGTGACCGAAATTCTTTTGGACAAGAGATATCAGGATACATCGACTATGCTTATAGGCTGAAAGTTGAAGATTTTGAAGTCTACTTTAATGGAATAAAAAGGCTTCTTCCAAAACCCACAGATCTGAGGTAGGTCCTATGCACTTCCCATACCTTCAATAAGAGAAAAAGTCTTCAGAATAAAAATCAATTTTGTACAATCAGGTTTGTAGCTTATATTCTGCATTGTGCATGGAATACTGGTATCTATGTAGCATCAATTGTTGTTTGAACAACAAATTTAAACAAGATGATAAATACCTTTTGAAATAGAGAATGAAGATAAATGCATATTTTTCTTTTCTTTCTTTCCTTTTTTTTTTTTTTTTTTTTGCTTTTTGTGTCACACCCAGTGACACTCAGTGGTTACTCCTGCCTCTACACTCAGGAATTACTCCTAGCGGTGTTTGGGGGGCCCTATGGGATGCTGGGGATCAAATCCGGGTCAGCCTCATGCAAGGCAAACACCCTACCCGCTGTACTATCACTCCAGCCCAGATGCATATTTTTCTTTAACGGTCTAAAATGAACTCTTCATAGATGGCAATTAGTCCATTTTCATTAACATTAATTTTAAATAATAAGTACAACCCTAGACAATCATTCTCAGCTGCTGACCGTGATTCTTCTCAATATTTCATCTGTGTTTTATTTCATAGAAAACATTGGGTCAGAACATAGAAATTACCAGTTGATCTGCCTGCATCTCTGCTAACCAAAATCAATTTGCTCATAAGCCAGTGCTCTTATCAGAATCTCTTCTAATTATTATTCCCACTTACTTAGTCAAAACTCCAAGCACGGGGTCACTGGCTCTGAGCCCACATGTAGGGTGTGGATTCTACTTTCATAAGTGGCTGTTCCTAAGTCTTGTTGCACCACTGTTCAGCTATTCCTTAGCTGACATCCCAGAGAGCCAATTTGATAGAAGTTTATACATCCCCCTATACGGGGAAGTTAGCCTTCCTCAAGAATATGAGGAAAGAGATGCTATGAGTCACTTCAACTTTTATAGTGAAAATTCTGGAATAAAATAGCTCCAGCCCCAGGTAACTCTCCACTCTCTTCTCCTAGAAAATGGTTTGTGTTTTCTTGAAAAAAATTAAATGCTTGTACTTGGTAAGTGAAATTTTCCTTTATACACGCATCTGCTCTCACCACATTTTTCCAGATTCAGAGAAAAAAGAACTCCTTGTCCTGTTTAGAGCTAATTTATTCAACTAATTCTTGAAGCTTTCCAATCCCTCTTTCCACTGAAGCTACATTTCATCTGTTATTATTTTGTCAGTATTTTTTTCATAGATTCTCAAATTGATTTCTCTCTATTAGCTCCTTTATCTTACCTTTAAACTTGCCAAAGTCGCTCACATATTAAAGAAAGGAAATCCTCCTTGTGGTATTGCACTATTTCTAAATCATTTTCCAGCTTATCTCTTCAAAATAGTGTCTACTTTTGCTTCTTGTGTAGGTGTTTAGTCCACCGTAATGAGTTTCCTGTCATCATTTTTCAAATGAAACTAATCTTGCTAGAAGCACAACACATTGCCAATTTCAAAATCCAGTGGATTTTTTTGCATTTATTTTGTTACCTCTCTACATTGTTTTATTAGCTTTAATTGATTGTTATTTGATAAATTCTTCTGAAACATTAAGTATTCCATCATTTTTAATAGAATCCTCATTAAATTATCCTTTTGTTTATTTCATACATATCAGTATTATGGATTTCTTAGAGGACTTTATTTTCATCATATACATTCTCCTGGGTGCATTGATCACTTTTCTTCGTGAAATTTTCTTCACAACTATAACTTAGCGCACACATCTCTCTTTCTTTCAAACTCAATTCTTATACTACTCATTATAGAGAACTGTTTTAGTTCCCACTAACACTTAATATTTATGTCCAAAATTAAACAAAGTTTAATACCTGAATTATTTATCAGAACTTGCTTCTGGATTCTTTTATCTTGACAATTAGTATAACCCTTGCAACTTAAGGCAAAATTTAGTACATATCTTTCACTCCATTACCACTACATGATCACTATGTTAGGAGTAATAATTTATTTAATATAAGACTGTTAAGAATCATTAAATGGACAATGTCATTTCATCTGTAAACAGTTCAACACAGGCTGGAAAAATAGTGCAGTGGTTGAGGCACTTGTTCTAGATGTGGCTTTCCCTGGTTCAGTCATCAACTCTGTATATATTTCTCTGAGCTCCCCCAGAAGTGATCCCTGAGCACAGAGTCAGGAATACTCCTTAAGCATTTCCCAGTGTGGGTGAGCCCCAAAACAAATAAACAAAAAACCCAAATAAGCAAAAATAATCAAATTTAAAATGAACGTCATAATATCATAATGTTGATAGTCAATGAATGACTGACAAAATAGTACCTTCGTCATTCATATTTCATTGATTGTCTTAAAGATACATTTGACAATTGGTTTAACCAACCAAATTCCAAGGATATCTTGTTTTTATTATTCTATCTCTATCAGTTCTTTCAATTTGTAATGTAATGTCCCCCTTTCTCATCTTTTATGCTATTCATTTGCTAGAGAAATGAGGACATATGTCTTAAGAAGTGTATAATACTTTAATATGACTGAAACTGTGTGGTGTCCCTTATACCCAACCTCTAAACTTCTATTTCCTATTGATTGGATTCAGGAAATTTAGTCTCAATTATTTTTCTTAGCAAAGGGGATGGATTTTAATTAAGTTCTGAAAGTTTGAATAATAGGTTCAAGAAGGGTCAGTTTGATGTTTCCATTGTAAAGTTTCCCTATCAAATTTCATTTAGCGGCTTAGTAGAAAAACTACCCCCAATGTTTTTGCAAATGGTGATTTTTTTTCTAATTATATCCTTCATTCTGCATTTTTAGCTATTCCTATTTCATAGTAGTAACTTTTCATTATCACCTTTTGCTTATCTTGAAACAGAATTCAGGATCTGTAGAAAGATACAACAAATATTGGATTGTTCTCCTTAGAGTGTGGACAAAAATAGAGAGAGAGAGAAGCACAAAAGAATATACAAATCAGGCCAGTTTTTTATACCAAATTGTAACCACTAGAAGTACCATGGAAGCATCTGGTTAGTTCTCATCTTCCACAACATATGCTATTAGTCCACTTTTATTCCCCCACAGTGGTTAGAAATTTTTTCTCGTTGTGGTTTTCATTTTCATGTCCATGATTACTACTCAGATTTTGCATATTTTATTGGTTATTTATATTTTCTTTCTTTTGAAGTGTCTACTGAGATATCTTCTCATTTCTTCCTGCTAGTTCCTAATTTTTTCTTGAAGATTAGGGAAGTTCTTTCATTTTTATTTTACTATATTGAGTAAAATTTTCCTCAGATGCATTAAATATGCAATTTTAAATAATTTTTAAGCTTATTATGAATTTACAATGAATAGAAGTTTTGACAATGTTGCTGCATTTTATTAATCCTTTTATATTAAGTGTTTACTTTTTGTGCTTGGCTTAACAAATCCTTATATTCTTGAGGCTCATAAAGATAGAGTCTTATACAATATTATGGTTTCACTTTTTTTTTAATTTTTATTAGTGTGACATCATGAGATACAGTTGTAGACTTACAAATTTTTGTGCTTGGGTTACACTTTTTATTTTATATTTTTATAAGAATTCATTAATACTGTATATTGTGGTTAGATAGGGGTTCACTTTCAGGCGTTGTCTTTTTTTTTTTAATGCACCATGTAACTGGTAAATTTTCCAAGCTGAAAAGTGTATCAGCAACTCTCCCACACTGCAAGACCATGTTTTAAGTCCCTTGTGTGTTGTTTTGTGTCTGGCTCACTCTTGTTTACTGGTCTCTCTTTGAAATAAGAGAAGTTTGCTCACTAATTATATTTTTATAATTATTGATATAAAGAAAGGCAATTTCTTTCCCTTATTTTTATTCATAAGGACAAATTAGGCTACACTAGTCTTTTGCTTTTTGTTTGGTTGGAGGGTCATGCCTGGCTATGCTCAGGACATATGCCTGGCTCTGCACTGAGGGATCACTCCTGGCTAGACTCAGGGAACTGTATGAGGTGCCAGTATCAAACCTGAGTCGGCCACTTGCAAAGCAAATACCTTATCTGATTTACTATTGTTCCAGTCCCCACTCCTTTACTTTTTCGTATAAATTTTGTAGTAAAGCTAAGTTCCCACACTTAAGAACAATGTCATATTTTAAAAAATAGGGGTCACATCCAGCAGTAATTTAGTGTTGAGCTAGAGTTGAAACATAGAGCCATGATCATTTCAGGCTCACGCATTAGTACTTGAACCATATCCTTGGTGTCTGTTATTGTATGTGTATGTGTGTATGTGCGTGTGTGTGCGCGTGCGTGCGTGCGTGCGTGCGTGTTGTGAGACTTATAACACCCCTCACCTCTTCTTTCTTTTTTCTTTCTTGCTTTTCTTTCTTTCTTTCTTTCTTTCTTTCTTTCTTTCTTTCTTTCTTCTCTTTTTCTTTCTTTTTTCTCTTTCTCTTTCTTTCTTTCTTTCTTTCTTTCTTTCTTTCTTTCTTTCTTCCCAACAAGTGTCAAGTTTTTTAAGTTTTTAAAGGTCAGCGTGGTGCCTGGGACTGCCATGGTGCCGCAGGTTCCTGTCATGAGCTTGGATGGCTTGGTGACCCTAGAAACTCGCAGCTGACTGGGCACTTACTTTGGGCCCAAAAGCTGCACCCTCAGTGGGGCAGTTCTGCTACGATTTCTTCCCCAGATTAGCCCACAACTCCTGCAGCATATTACACAGGAGAACCTGCCTGAGTGACAACTGTCTGTAGACCCAGATAGGGACAGTGCCCCTGGTTCAAGCTCTGCTGGGCTGGTGACAGCAGCCCACCCAGATTGCTCAGACCATTAATTGTATAGCCCTGGCTCTGGTCCTGGTCCTTGCTGGAGCCCAGGGGGCGTGGTGCCACCAGCAGGTCAACCAGGACCTGTAGGATGAGTGCATCAACAACCTAAAGGTGCCTTCAGATTTCCTGACACCCCAAATTCACAGCTGTGCCTCTGGCTGGACTCCAGCAACTCAGAACCAAGTTTCCTGAGAAA